TAAACCACATGACATGGGTATGCCCACAGTAAGACCAGACACTGTATGTCTGCCTCATACATCAACAAATTTATCATAGAAAAAAAATGTTACTCCTTGTCTTCTGTCAGTTTCAGTTGTATAAAAGAACAAGCAAGTAATAGTGTAACATCCGATGATGTCACATCCTTAATTTTGATACTTTGAAGGAAGCTTCAGCATTCAGTGTGACATCCTCAAAACAATATCTTTACACTATTCTATTCTATTGCTAAATGGCTTTTCTTAAGTTGTGTGAAATTACAATAAAGGTACCACAGCTGTTATTATATGTGACTATGCAGAGCCATTATGTATGGTACAAACACCATTGCTTTTTAATGGTGTAATTGTATGCATAATTACTTTAAGATAGCAAGACATTAAGTATGTGCTTTTATAAAAATTTTAATCATTTCTACTGTTCTATATAAAATATGTAGCAAGACAGTTGAGGCAGTTCATTATTTTATGTATCTGTCACACTTGTGGGGGCAAATACCTGTTCAGTGCCATTTAAATGAGCATTCTTGGGCACGTCGAATTAGTTTACTTGTCAGTGTGTAATGAGTAGGTAAGTAGCAAGACATATACTATGTATTCTGCAGAAATGTCATGTCAAAATCAGGCTCACTTTATTCACTATATATAATATTGTGTACAGGAATTAGTCTTGGTGTGATAAGCTTTAATGCACAGTAGAGAAAAAATAAAGAAACAAAGCAGACTGTAAACTACACCTATAATTGTCTGCATCTTATACAGCACAGTCAACACTCAGTCATTACATTTGCAGGTGTAAAGGAAATACAGTGAGTGTGCACTAGTGCATTAACCCATAACTGATTTTATGACGCTGGTATGCGGTAACTTAGCCCTTACGGCATCACACACAATATGCAAATGTACACATTTTTATCAGAGCTTAATTGGCTGTGTGTAACGACTGACTTCGCATTGAATGTGAACACAGTCATATGCATTTTGTAATACCAGCTGTATTTCTTAACATCCAAATGATAAATATGTATCATGCGGGGAGATCATATCTTTAGTGTGTGGTATAATCTTGCAAATTTCCTAAGAGCTCCAGCCCTTCTCTCTCTCTCTCTCTCTCTCTCTCTCTCTCTCTCTCTCTCTCTCTCTCTCTCTGTGTGTGTGTGTGTGTGTTAAGCTCCTCTAAGCTGTATGTAGCCTGTTCAGTGTGCAGTCTCATGCGTGGCTCAGCTGACTCCTCAGTGGGAGAGATGCAGGCAGCAGCCAGGGCAGAGCAGAGCGGAGCAGAACAGGCTGACTGCTGGAGTCAGTGGCCCAGTAAAACCACAGCAGGGGGTATAAGAGCTCTGCCGGAGGGGGGTGAGAGAGGTATGACTGTATCTCTATGTCTGCCTGAACTGTATATGTAGCCGTTCTGGGAGGGTGGGGGTGGGGTGGGGTGCGGGTGGGGTGGGGTGGATGGGCTGGGGGGGGTAATGACTATTTCTCCCCTCTCTCTCTGTTTTATGCATTCTTTAAAAGGCTACTTCTCTATTTCTTTTCTTTTTTTTGTACTAACATCATGTCTTTGTGTTGTTTTCAGTTCAGACTGGTTTTCCTATGAGCGGTAGCATTCCTTGTTCATTATTTATCTCTATCTGTCTGGCATATGAATACAGGACACGGTGTTGGCGGTGGTGCCTGTTATCTTCAGTTTTTCTAGTCTGTACCTGACTGGGTCTGTCTGTATATGAGACATTCCCATAGGCTCGCATTCACACAAACAGAAACATCACGCAAACCAGGACACACAGAGAAGTTCCTGTTTGTCTGGTTTGTTTTCAGGACCCGGGTAGTGAGAGGGTGAGAGTGCTACTGTGTTTTGTGTACTCAGTCATGGGAACACAAGAACTACCCATCCATCTGGTGGAAGCAAGTGCAATATACCAGGCAGGGCCACACGTGCCTTACATTTTTAGAGAGGCTTGTGTGTCTAATGACTGGAATTGTATGTATTTGCATATACAGTATGTCTGCTGTGGTTGTTTGGGCAGAGGGATATTACAGTCAGAAGAAAGAAGTACACTCACAACTGGCAGAGGAGAAACAGTTATAGTATAGCTTCCTCTCTTCCTCTACTTGTCTCCCTTGTGCACCCCCCCCCCCACGCGTAAAATGTCACCACCACTGCCACCACTGAGCACCTTGTGTTACTTTCCCTGTTTTGTGTTACTTTCATATTTTGTCATAACTGCGATACATGTTGCTGAAAGGTACTGTGCAGTGCTCTGTCAGAAAAAAAAAATCACTGGTGGATATTCAAGACCGACAGGTGGTTTATCTCACTTAGACTAATACCTGAAGATCCTCGTCCATTGTCTTCAGTTTGAGCAGAGACTGGACTCATAATGAAAACAGTAACTAGAAAATCTGCATATGCATATGGATTATTACAATAAATATACATGTATATATAGTGGTATAATCAGATGAGGGCTGGTGAAATTAAGTATTTAAAAGATGGTTATGTTAATTACAAAAAATGAGCCCACTTCCATGTAAAAACATCAAAGATCTATAATAAGGCTATGAATCAGGAAGACAAATGAGCTGATTTTTCTTAACCTCACAGGCCTACATCGACTCCAAATGATGCGTTTCACTCAACAAGATCTCACCTTGCAGTCGCAGCGCTGCTTGGTGTCATTATTTATATTTACGTGTTACTGTGTGCATCACAAAACAATGAGACCTTTCTCTTTTGTCTCTTCCTTTGTTCCCCTGCTGCTGCTGCTGCTGTCCAGACACAATGGCAGTCTCAAGGCGGTGCATCCAGCAAAGTTTTTGTCAGCCAGCCCGTGTTATGTATACAAAAAAATATTGAGAAAAAAATATATATATAAGGAGAGAGAGAGAGAGAGAGAGAGAGAGAGAGAGAGAGAAAATAGTGTTTAGTGTGACAGTTTGAATTGTTTTTGTGGCGACTAGAATAAGAGAGTTCTCAAGAGGAAAAAGAACCTGCAAGATGCTGGCGGGTGGCAAACAAAGGCGTGAGTGAGTAAACAAATAGATGGCAGAAAAGTGCAATTTTACAATAATTCATTAAATAAAATGAATGAAAATAACATATTACAGATAGAAAGTATCATGTTATGAGAAAGTAAATAAACTGATTAAGTGAAGTTGGTGGGGCTAAATAAATAAATAAATTCCTACTCCAAACAATTAAGCACCGTGCTTCTTGTGAGTAATCACACATAAACTCGGACCGTCTATATTGTTGTGTGCATAGTTGTTTGACTTTGAGAGGGCGGGACTCTTTGGAGAGCGAAATGAACTAGGCGCGGCCAAAAGGAGCCCCATCCATCTATCACACGTGTAGACAAAGGGGGACTCCACAACACAAAGCTAGATGTGCCCTCTCAAACTTTTTCCACGACGCACGGCGACGCGCACACAGCTAAACCACCCCCCAGGTGAGTTGTCTCCGACCGGGATACTACCTTTCGCTTGCACCCTTGGAAGCGGTTTTCGAATCTATTTCCAGTCAAAAGTTGCTGCTGTAGTTGGTGCGTCAGCGCTCAAACTTGAGCACAAAGCAGGAGAGAAAGGGAGAGAGACTTAGAGAAACAGAGGCAGCGAGGAGAGAGAGAGAGAGGGAGAGAGAGAGAGAGAGCGAGAGGAGCGGTCCCCTTTTCCTTTGTCTGATGCGGGGCGCTTTGAGGAGAGAACTTGAGGGGATGCTCAGACACGCATCTTCATAACGCTCAATAATACTCAACCTATGATAGTTATTATGAATTGACAGTGGGCTTTAATGGAGGTGAGATGGAGTTTGTGCTGCTGTCGTGTTTTTGTCTCTTGGGGATGTTGCGACGCACAAGACAAAGCAGCTGCCTGTCAGAAGTTTGCGGAGAGAAGGACCTTTTTACGCATGCTGGACATAAAGACAAAGTGACAAGTATTAGTTCATAAATAGTTTGTAAATAGTTTTTTTCCCTCCGTGCAGTAGTTTTATGACAGCGGTGTTCGTGGTCTTGCGAAGTTGCCAGTCGCACTGAGGGAATTCAGAACAATGCAATCAGGTGTAAAGTCTCTAAGAAACAAAACAGTGACACAGAATTCAACTTGTTGCACGAATAAGCAGTAGAGTGCGGAGGCAAAGGGATGTGATGAGAGGAATACTAATTGGTTCGTTTCGAAAATCACTAAGAAACTTGTCATAGTTTATTGGAAACAGAGCAACAGGTATAAGTCGCTGCAGCTTCTTTGTTACAGTAAAGGCTCCTTTGTTCTCAGTCCATACAAAGAAAACCAGCAGAAACGAGCGCAAATCCGCAAGGAAAGAACTTTTTTGAGCGCTGGAAATGATTTTCACGGGATAAAAAATGTTTTGAATTAATTCGTTTAATCTCCAAAGTGTTGAATAAGCTTTTTTCCCCCTTTTTTTTCTTTTAAATATATAAAACACGCCGGACCATCTCAAGATAAATAGTTACTAAAGTGCGGATTATCAGACAGTTTTTGATTTTTTTTAATCAAGTGTCTAAAACATAATAGATGCAGTTTGTATGATTTTTAAAAACTTTCTTTATCATGTGAAGGTGTGGCCAAACAACTTGTTTGAATTTGCTGCATTCCATTGTACAGTGGCCCTACCCTAAACTTTTTATATGCACTTATAGGATTGATTTGTTTTATGAAACAAAATGAGTTTTGCTTTCTGTAAAAAAATATTTGCTTTTGAATATGTTTTTTCCAAGTTTTTCAACTAATTTCAAATTTATACAGCTCATGCTAACACATGTACTTTTGTACCTAAAGTGTTCGTTAGATATCAGTAATCATGAAAAGTATCATTTGTTTTTATTTTTTCTAAAATTATTTTGCTAATTTTAGTCAATGAGCACATTTGTTGCACTGACATAAAGTTTTAACTACACTGCTTTCAATCTTCTTTTTTTTTTCTTCTCATTTCTCTGGTATGTGTCCTTAGGTGGATTTTAACACCAGATTAACCAGCAAAGCGTTTTCTCCTGTGGGAGGTTAAGGAAATAAAAATATGTGGAAATCACATGGAAGATGTACAGAGTCACCTATCAAGCAGCTTTTAAGGCGAAGAGGAGGATTAAGAGACTGTGCAGTTTTCTTTTGGAGAAGGTGAAGACTCATCTCATAAGGATTTAAACTTCAGCAGCATCAGTGCCAGGCGGGATGCGTTTTAGGCACACTTGGAAATCTAAAACTCATGGAGACACTTTGAGGATTATAAAAAATGTGTAGTATGTCTCTCCACAAGACATGTCCCAGCCCAAAGTCACAGGGATAGCAGGATATTGCATTTCTGATCCTCCTCGGCCCTCAGCATGGGTAGGTAATATTACTTTGTACTGGGGATGTGGCACTTGTTCAACCACTTGTTTGTAGAGCCGGTAGGGATGGGCTGTCCAACCCCCAACACACACACACACACACACACACACACACACACACACACACACACACACACACACACACACACACTACCACCGCCATCGCAAAGAACACTTCCCATATTTCATTCATGTATCATATCCCTGTACTCTGAACAAATTGCCATAATTTATGTGGGATCAAAGTTGATTTAAGTTTAGGCAAAACTCAAGAAAAACTTCAGAAAAGTTTATTTTGAGCCTTATCTGTATTAAAATGAAGAAATAAATAAATAACTCAACTGATTTCTCCTCTAACCTGTGGTTGTTTGGACATCACCATCCAATGATGTGTTATTGTCATTCATGCCTATTGTAAAATGTCAGTCATTACACTCCACTGATGTTAATATAAGCAGTTTGGACAGTCATGTAGAATTTAAAAAAAAATAAAAATAAAAATAATAAATAGAGAGATTTTGCCACAGCTTGGAGGTTTTGTAAACAGACACCACAACATGCAGGGTTCAATTGACTTGCACTTGAACACATAGCTCGTACACTTGGACGACAAAAGTGCGTAAAGCTCCTCATGAACACGCCCAGCTTTCTGTTTGTGGCTTTACATGACCACTCGCCTGTTCAGTGCACATGTAGCGCAGCCTATTACGATTAACAAAGTGAATGTTCACAATTAATGATAGATCATTTCCATATTTATTGATAAGCCGCTACTTCATTAACTTTTATTTTTAATTAACGACAAGATTGCATGCATTTTCCTGACTGAGCAGATATCAGATGCAAATTCATTCATCGCATGCAAAGTTTCTGTTTCAGCAGACTTGACTTCAGTATCCAAGTGGAGTCTGTTCGGCCAAATGAATTTGTCCATAATCAGCTCTGTGTTGTGTTTGCTCTGAGATGTTCTGTGATGTCAAGCGCTCGATGATCCACTGTACTGCGGTTTATGTGAATTGCCATCTGAGCTGTAGTATCTTTTCTGCTCGCTTTGTGAGGTGCAGTTACAAAAATAATTCCTCAAACGCTTCTGTTCTGCTGACGGGACAGTACAGGAGGGAGGGCGTCTTAGAATTAAGAGGGTGCTTTTTCTATTGGCTTGTGATCATGCTGCAGTTAATGTAGGCAAGCCTGTTAAATCTTGGGAAAAAAAAAAAAAAATCTGCAGCCTGCCTTCTTAACCTGTAGTACTTTATATGTGAGAGTGAGGGAGAGGTGGAAAGGTAGACTCACTCCTTTCACTCTCTTTGCAGCCCCTTATCAATGATGTCATTGAGAGCCAATGAGAGCATGCAGTGGTACTTGTCAGCATCCAAGCTCCACCTCCAGCCTCTTTTGTGCATGGCAGCCCACATGGTCCTGCAGCATCACATTTTCACCATGCCGTGCCTCTGCTGCAGAGAGAGGCAGGGATACAGAGATGTTGCTCTCGGCTGTTGTGATGTTAATCCACCAAGTCTGCTCAGGAAAAAAAAAGAAGCTTGTTTATTACTGTGAGCATATGCATGGAGCGACTTGAGGAGTGAAGAGGGATGACATTTTTTTGTTTACATAACTGATTACAGTTCCAGAAAATAAATGGTATAAAAAGATCGCCTGTATGATGACTTTAATTCAGCTAAACATCAAACCGATCTGTGTTAATGTAACAATAATTTACGTGCACTTGTTACCACGAGAGCTTTAATGCTGAGTGGAAAAAAAACATTGACCTGCCACCTCCTGCTTCTGTGGAACAGACTCAGGTCGCAGCCTGGAAATCACTGGGATCAGTGGGAATGTGGGTCAGTCAACACTGTGACACAGGTGGGACAGATATAGGTCAATGGTAGCGTATGGGTGCTGATGAGTCATGCATCTACAATAAGCCGCAACAGAGGATGCAAGGAGGGGAGAGAGAGAGAGAGAGAGGGAGCAACGAGGGCTGTTCAGTTATTGAAATGTGGAGGGGGAGTGTGTGCAGTAACACGCGTGGATCCTAACCTTAATATCTGCTTAAGAAGCTCACTGTTGTACATGCAATTGTATAACATGGAACTGAATGATCTCTGCTCTGTAAAGCACACAGTTTACTCATTCCAATTGCAAGCATGGCAGCTTTATATAAGAATAATAGCTTGCAACTTTGTCCCGTTCGTTTAACGTTTTAAGTAGATCCGATGCTCTGCAGATCAACTTCTGTTTAAAACATATGAAGCATTGTACCTAATATTCACCTATGAGACTGTGGGTTATTATAAGAATGCGGATTCAGTCCAGTTCCCAGTTAATGAACTTGTGAGTAAAACAGAAACATCCGGTTTAGCATAACTAATCATTGTGACAGGCCCAGCACTGAGCTCTTAATAGGCATGGCACAGGCATGAGTTGTGCTACAATACAGTATGCTCCACTGTGTGTAGCTTAATTACATTGCTTATCTGTCACGCTATTATCAAGTACAGTACAGTTTTCATAACATTCGCCTTTTGGTGAACACTTTATGCGAGCATACTTTTTTTTTGTATAGATGTCCCAGTGGGACTTGAGCTTCTAAACCTAATCCACTGAGTTACAGGGGGACAACATTAGCACTGCAATCTGTGGCATCTTCCAGTTCTGAAGTCTCAATATCCCTCTAAGCTGGAACGCTCATTAAAATGGGCAATGGTTTCACACCATCTCTTTCTCTCTGCAGCATATGTGCAACTAAATCTGTGTCACTATAATCTTCCATCCATCTGTTTTTGCTATTACACTAATATAAAGTACTTCATTCTGTTTCTGGGGAAGACTAATGGGAACCATAAAGCATGCTGCTGTGTTGCAAAGCGGTCTACCTTAGGCTCAATGACACCAATTCTACAGATATTACTTTGTTTAAATTGTGCATCATTTTTTTTGTCCAGTTTTTAGTACTACTATGCACAAAGATGTTCATGAGCTGTACTGATGTTATGCAAAGTGCTTTAGACTAGAGCACAACATTAGGCCTAGAATAACTAATCACTAGTGTAAGCCTAATTCTGTCAGACATGCTGTGGTCAGCCTCAGGACAGCTATCAGATTTAGTTTTACCACTCATTGCATGTAGCTCGTGGGCACTGCAGCTTGTAGTCCCTCATAGAAATCACCACAATACATTTATGTGTACACTTTAGATCAGTTAAGGTCCAATCTGTTTTTGTGCAGCATTTTATACTTAACACAAAAAACACTGTTGACCCACCACTGTGTATGTTTACACAATGCTTCGCTGAGTTTGTGCTATTTTTTTTCCCCGCTCGGAAATGTAATGTCTGATGCACTGATACAAGTGCTGACAGATGGACAAATAAATGTCGAGCTGGATCTTCAAAGAGGAACAGCCGCCTCAAACAGATTTCGTACGTGTTATGTACTATGTGCCTTTACAAAAAAAAGGAGAGAGAGAGAGAGAGAGAGAGATTAAATTGGTGAAAATGAGCAAGTGGTGAAAAAGCTGCGGCAATCATTTTTGTTTAATTTTCCCTCCCAGCTGAAGCTGAGTCGATGCTCCCTTTGTGCGTATTAGTGAGTCATGCAGGCCACTACACTGTGGGTACAGTATAGTAAAATACAGTGCAGTAAAACATTAGGCCCACCATTACTAATTGTGACGACAGTCCTAATTCTCCAAGCTACAGGCATTCTGTGGTCATCCTGTTGCAAACTATCAGAGCTTAGTTTTACCGCTCGGCGCCTGTAGCTGCGAGATAAGTTAACGTGCTCTGCTGGCATGCTAATACATACCCGCACTGGGGGACAGGAATAAATTATTTCTTTATGACTGCGCATGAGGCAAAGCATTTGAAGGAGGGGAGGGAGAGATAGAGGGAGAACATAGGGAGATGAAGCAAGGGGTAGAGACATGGGGGTAAATGATGGGTAGGAAAGAAAAGGAGGAAAAGAGAGAAAGCAAGACAGGAGATCCAGCAAAACAGATTGAGGGGAAAGGGGGAAAAGAGCACGACAGAGAGATGAAAAGGACAAGAATAAGACAGATAGAAAGCTTTATAGTGCTCTTTATATCTGTCTCTAGCAATTCTCTCACCCTGGAGTAGTCATTTTATTCCTGACTGTGGCTGAGTTTATTCTTTACAGCCAATATGATGGATAACTGAAAGGCTTTTCCCAGATAGGTTGCATTTAAACCAATGAGCTCAAGAACAACACAAGGTTTGCTTTGGCAAATAATTACTATACAGATTTTTTTTTTTTTTTACTGCTTTGACCTGAAAACCAGTCAGCCTGCATACACTATCATATGACCTTTCGAGGGATTTTGGCCTAGTTTGAAATATCCAAATCACGCAATGAGAAATCGCTGGCGGATAATGTTTAAAAAATTGGTGTAATGAATGAAATCAGTGTAAAACACACTGGCTTTGCTTTTATTGCGATACAGAGACAACAATTATTAGCCGCTATCCTCTGAGGCAAAATAAAGACAGGACTTTGTGACGTAGATTGCTATTTAGCTAGTTTATCTTTGGGTTTAAATGTTAATGTCTTGTTGTGTGTTGCACTGTGTCTTTATGATTTTCTGCCTGCTGCACATTTTGCCTTGTGGGATTCTAGTGAAGTCAAAACCAAACTGCAGACAATAGCGTGACAAATCAATCAGAAAACACATAACTGTAAGCGCCAAATCAAAATTCACTGGATGAGAGATCACATGGCGTGTCGCGCAGCAGGTCTTAGCCGCCCCTGAAGATATTGCTTTCTGCTCCTCCCCTCGTCCCAGCCCAGGTATAGATATAGGGACACAATTTCCAATAACAGCTTTAGCCAGTTGGCTGTCTGTCTATTACAGGTCAACTTATTACCTCCATAAATGCACAGCATGTTGCTGTCTGGGGATGGACTGATAATCCCTCTAAAGACTGGGGTTTTATCAAAGCTAAATCTGCTCCTCACACAGACACACACGGGGACAGG